ACATCAGCCACACTATCAGAGGCTCTTTCACCTGCACATCTACCAATGTGATATATACCATCATGTGCCAGCAATGCCCCTCTGCCATGTACATTGGTCAAACTGGACAGTCTCTACGTAAAAGAATAAATGGACACCAATCACATGTCAAGAATTATAACAAAAAGAAAAGGAGTACTTGTGGCACCTTAGAGACTAACCAATTTATTTGAGCATAAGCTTTCGTGAGCTACAGCTCACTTCATCGGATGCATACTGTGGAAACTGCAGAAGACATTATATACACAGAGACCATGAAACAATACCTCCTCCCACTCCACTCTCCTGCTGGTAATAGCTTATCTAAAGTGATCACTCTCCTTACAATGTGTATGATAATCAAGTTGGGCCATTTCCAGCACAAATCCAGGTTTTCTCAACCCCCCCCCCCAAAAAAAAAAACAACCACACACACACAAACTCACTCTCCTGCTGGTAACAGCCCGTCCAAAGCGACCACTCTCCCCACAATGTGCACGATAATCAAGGTGGGTCATTTCCAGCACAAATCCAGGTCTTCTCACTCCCCTCCCCCCAAAACACACACACACACACAAACTCACTCTCCTGCTGGTAATAGCTCATCCAAACTGACCACTCTCCTTACAATGTATATGATAATCAAGGTGGGCCATTTCCAGCATAAATCCAAGTTTAACCAGAAAGTCGGGGGGGGGGGGAGGAGGGGTAGGAAAAAACAAGGGGAAATAGGCTACCTTGCATAATGACTTAGCCACTCCCAGTCTCTATTTAAGCCTAAATTAATAGTATCCAATTCAGCAGTTTCTCGCTGGAGTCTGGATTTGAAGTTTTTTTGTTTTAAGATAGCGACCTTCATGTCTGTAATTGCGTGACCAGAGAGATTGAAGTGTTCTCCGTCTGGTTTATGAATGTTATAATTCTTGACATCTGATTTGTGTCCATTTATTCTTTTACGTAGAGACTGTCCAGTTTGCCCAATGTACATGGCAGAGGGGCATTGCTGGCACATGGTGGCATATATCACATTGGTAGATATGCAGGTGAAAGAGCCTCTGATAGTGTGGCTGATGTGATTAGGCCCTATGATGGTGTCCCCTGAATAGATATGTGGGCACAGTTGGCAACAGGCTTTGTTTCAAGGATAGGTTCCTGGGTTAGTGGTTCTGTTGTGTGGTGTGTGGTTGCTGGTGAGTATTTGCTTCAGGTTGGGGGGCTGTCTGTAGGCAAGGACTAGCCTGTCTGCCAAGATTTGTGAGAGTGATGGATCGTCCTTCAGGATAGGTTGTAGATCCTTCATAATGCGTTGGAGAGGTTTTAGTTGGGGGCTGAAGGTGACAGCTAGTGGCGTTCTGTTATTTTCTTTGTTGGGCCTGTCCTGTAGTAGGTGACTTCTGGGTACTCTTCTGGCTCTGTCAATTTGTTTCTTCACTTCAGCAGGTGGGTACTGTAGTTGTAAGAACGCTTGATAGAGATCTTGTAGGTGTTTGTCTCTCTCTGAGGGGTTGGAGCAAATGCAGTTGTATCGTAGAGCTTGGCTGTAGACAATGGATCGTGTGGTGTGGTCTGGGTGAAAGCTGGAGGCATGTAGGTAGGAATAGTGGACAGTAGGTTTCCGGTATAGGGAGGTGTTTATGTGACCATCGCTTATTAGCACTGTAGTGTCCAGGAAGTGGATCTCTTGTGTGGACTGGTCCAGGTTGATGGTTGGATGGAAACTGTTGAAATCATGGTGGAATTCCTCAAGGGCTTCTTTTCCATTGGTCCAGATGATGAAGATGTCATCAGTATAGTGCAAGTAGAGTAGGGGCATTAGGGAACGAGAGCTGAGGAAGCGTTGTTCTAAGTCAGCTATAAAAATGTTGGCATACTGTGGGACCATGCGGGTACCCATAGCAGTGCCGCTGATCTGAAGGTATACATTGTCCCCAAATGTAAAATAGTTATGGGTAAGGACAAAGTCACAAAGTTCAGCCACCATATTTGCCGTGACATTATCGGGGATAGTGTTCCTGATGGCTTGTAGTCCATCTTTGTGTGGAATGTTGGTGTAGAGGGCTTCTACATAGTGGCAACCTGGCCACTATGGAGGTCGCTATCTTACAACAAAAAAACTTCAAATCCAGACTCCAGCGAGAAACTGCTGAATTGGAATTCATTTGCAAATTGGATACTATTAATTTAGGCTTAAATAGAGACTGGGAGTGGCTAAGTCATTAGGCAAGGTAGCCTATTTCCCCTTGTTTTTTCCTACCCCCCCAGACGTTCTGGTTAAACTTGGATTTATGCTGGAAATGGCCCACCTTGATTATCATATACATTGTAAGGAGAGTGGTCAGTTTGGATGAGCTATTACCAGCAGGAGAGTTAGTTTGTGTGTGTGTGTTTTGGGGGGAGGGGAGCGAGAAGACCTGGATTTGTGCTGGAAATGACCCACCTTGATTATCGTGCACACTGTGGGGAGAGTGGTCGCTTTGGATGGGCTGTTACCAGCAGGAGAGTGAGTTTGTGTGTGTATGGGGGGGGTGGTGGTGAGAAAACCTGGATTTGTACTGGAAATGGCCCATCTTGATTATCATAAAAAGAAAAGGAGTACTTGTGGCACCTTAGAGACTAACCAATTTATTTGTCTCTAAAGGTCTCTAAGGTGCCACAAGTACTCCTTTTCTTTTTGCGAATACAGACTTACACGGTTGTTACTCTGAAACCTTGATTTTCATACACATTGTAAGGAGAGTGGTCACTTTGGATGGGCTATTACCAGCAGGAGAGTGAGTTTGTGCGGGGGGGGGGGGGGGGCGGAGGGTGAGAAAACCTGGATTTGTGCTGGAAGTGGCCCAACTTGATTATCATACACATTGTAAGGAGAGTGATCACTTTAGATAAGCTATTACCAGCAGGAGAGTGGGGTGGGAGGAGGTATTGTTTCATGGTCTCTGTGTATATAATGTCTTCTGCAGTTTCCACAGTATGCATCCGATGAAGTGAGCTGTAGCTCACGAAAGCTTCTGCTTAAATAAATTGGTTAGTCTCTAAGGTGCCACAAGTCCTCCTTTTCTTTCTTCAATATAGCAACACTCTTCATCTGCCAAGAAAGTTCTGTCTTGTGGGTGTCACAGGTTCCATCCTCTCCCCCTTTTTATTTGGGGTGACAACAGATCTCAGTGGCAGGAAGAAAGTGGGGTCAGCTGTTATGGTGCTCCCTGTTTAACCAGGGAGGCATGTATAGGGGAAAAATCAGACTGAATTTGGTACAAATAGCATGCCTTTCCATGACAAGCCTGTGATTTCCAGTGAAGCCTCAACTATATAGTACTAATATATTATTATTTGTATTATTAAGAATATTTTCTATCTACACTATGATGAGAAAACTGCAAAGCCCTTGAAGTTATTTATTATTAGATGCAGAAATTTAGAAGAGAAGACTAAACCAAGTCTTATATTTAGATCTACAATATGATTTCATTTTTGGGCTGATCATAAAGAGAACTGTTAACTATTCTGTGACGGGTTGGATCACAGAAACCCCCTGGCAGTTGCCACCTGATGTGCCAAGACTACTTCTGCTCCTGCTTTCCTGCCCTGTCAGCTTAGGACTTCAGTGTCCTGCCTAGTTTGAGCCAGACCCACTAGCCTGCTGCAAACCCAGACCCAGGTCTGAACCACGTCCCCTAACAGCTGTAGGCTTAACTGAAAGCAATTTAAGAAGTGTTCCTGCCTTTAACACTCAGATGCCCAACTCCCAATGGGGTCCAAACCCCAAATAAATCCATTTTACCCTGTATAAAGCTTATACAGGGTAAAGTCATAAATTGTTCACCCTCTATAACACTGATAGAAAGGTATTCACAGATGTTTGCACCTCCCCCTCCCCAGGTATTAATACATACTCTGTGTTAATTAATAAGTAAAAAGTGATTTTATTAAATATCGAAAGTAGGATTTAAGTGGTTCTAAATAGTAACTGACAGAACAAAGTGAATTACCAAGCAAAATAAAATAAAACACGCAAGTCTAAGTCTAGTATAGTCAGAAAACTGAATACAGATAAAATCTCACCCTTAGAAATGTTTCAATACATTTCTTTCAGAGACTGGACACCTTCCTAGTCTGGGCACAATCCTTTCCCCTGGTACAGCCCTTGTTCCAGCTCAGGCGGTAGCTAGGGATTCCTCATGATGGCTGCCCCTTTGTTCTGTTCCACCCACTTATAGATCTTTTGCATAAGGCAGGAATCCTTTGTCCCTCTGGGTTCTCATCCCTCCTTCTCAATAGAAAAACACCAGGTTAAAGATGGATTTCAGTTCAGGTGACATGATCACATGTCACTGTTAGACCCCAAGCCTTCATTCCTCCCAGCCTGACTCACAGGAAGGCCTGCAAGCAAACAGAGCCATCCACAGTCAATTGTCCTGGTTGATGGGAGCCATTAAGATTCCAAACCATCATTAATGGCCCACGCTTTGCATAACTACAATAGGACCTCAGAGTTATATTTCATATTTGTAGTTTCAGATACAAGAGTGATACATTTACGCAAATAGGATGACCACACTCAGTAGATTATAAGCTTTGTAATGATACCTTACAAGAGACCTTTTGCATGAAGCATATTCTGGTTACATTATATTCACACTCATTAGCATATTTTAATAAAATCATTTAGAGCGCAACATCACATATTCACATACTTTTTGATCAACCTCAGCAAAATAATTCAATGCAAGAAGTCTGTGAAATGTCTAATTTTCACATCACACACGTGCAACAGGAACAGATCTATTAGAATTTTTTAAGGTAGTTTGCATGCTGAAAATTACCTAGCAGGAAATTATCTAGTTTAAGCTCCACTTTATTATAATTAGTCTTGTGATATTTGTCTCAAAGTGAGGCTCTTTTAGAGGGAGACAAAGGATAATTAGGCACTAGCCCGGCTGAGACTGTGAAGAGGGTGTAATATCACAAAGTCATACGCTTACCAGCATTCATTTCTTTAAACTTCTGTCTGAGCTCCAGTGGCGTCAGGCGGTATTGATCCAGTCCATCATTCCATTTTATTTTCTCTAACACAAGAAGATCACCACCAGCCAACCAATCCCCACTTTCCATCACCATCTACGAATCATAAACACACACACACATACATATATTAGTCACGGGATATTTGCTAAATACTAAAACATTTGTATTCATTTTCTCTTTCATTAAATGCCTCCACAGTACAACTATCAGTGACTTACTGAGTGGCTGCATCTAACCTAAGTGTTTCTCGCCTTGAAATGCAAGGCTAGAGGGGACCTTGTCAGGTCATCTAGGCTGAGGTAGGACCAAGTATCCTGACAAGTGATTGTCTAACCAGTTCTTAAAAACCTCCAGAATGATGGGGATTCCACCACCTCCCTTTGAAGTTTAGTTCAGTGTTTAACTATCCATATAGTTAGAAAGTTTTTCCTAATATCTAACCTAAATCTCCCTTGCTGCAGAGTAAGTCCATTATATCTTGTCCTACCTTGAGTGGAGATGGAAAACAATTGAATACGTCCTCTTTATAACAACTCTAAACATATTTAAAGGCTACCAAGTCCCCCTCTTCTCTGCCCCTAAACCAAGACTTCTTTTCTCAAGACTAAACATGTCCAGTTTTTTTAACCTTTCCTCAGGGGTCAGGTTTTCTAAACTTTTTACCATTTTTGTTGCTCTCCTCTGGACTCTCTCCAATTTGTCCACATCTTTCTTAAAGTGTGGAGCCCAGACTGGACACAGTAGTGCAGGTGAGGCCTCACCAGGACTGAGCAGAGCAGGACAATAACTGCCTGTGCCTTACATACAACACTCTTGTTAACAGAACTCAGAATATTAGCCTTTTTTACAATTGCATCACATTGTTGGCTCATATTCAATTTGTAATTCTCTTCAACCCCCAGATCTTTTTCCAGCAGTACTACTGCCTAGCCTGTTATTTACTATTCTGTAGTTGTGCATTTGATTTTTCCTTCCAAGTGAAGTACTTTGCACTTGTCTTTCCCGAGGCCTGGTCTACACTAGGAAGTTAGGTTGGTATAACTATGTTGCTCAGGGGTGTGAAAAAGCCACACCCCTGAGCAATGCAGTTAAATCAGCCTAACCCCCAGTTTAGACAGTGCTAGGTCGATGGGAGAATTCTCCCATCATACTAGCTACCACCTCTTGGAGAAGTACATTACCTATACCGATGGGAGAACCCCTCCTGTCAGAGTAGGCAGCATCTTCACTGAAGCTCTACAGTGGTGCAGATGCAGTGGTACAGGTGTGTTGGCTGCAGTGTTTTCAGTATAGACAAGCGCTAAATTTCATCTTCTTGATTTCAGACCAATTTTCCAATTTGTCAAAGTTGTTTTGAATTCTAATCCTGTCCTCCAAAGTGCTTACAACCCCTCCCAGTTTGGTGTAATCTGTGGATTTCATAACATACTCTACACTTCATTATCCAAGCCATTAATGGAAATACAGTAACTCCTCATTTAACGTTATAGTTATGTTCCTGAAAAGTGCAACTTTAAGCGAAACAATGTTAAGCGAATCCAATTTCCCCATAAGAATTAATGTAAATGGGGGGGGTTAGGTTCCAGGGAAATTTTTTTTTTGCCAGACAAAAGACTACACACACACACAGTATATAAGTTTTAAACAAACAATTTAATACTGTACACAGCGATGATGATTGTGAAGCTTGGTTGAGGTGGTGGGGTCAGAGGGTGGGATATTTCCCAGGGAATGCCTTACTGCTAAATGATGAACTAGCAATTGGCTGAGCCCTCAAGGGTTAACTCGTTTTTAATGTAGCCTTACACTCTTCAAAGCAGCACGAATGGAGGGAGGGGAGACAGCATGGCAGAGACAGAGACACACCCTGTGTGTGAGAGAGAGATGCGCATTTTCCCTTTAAGTACGCAGACACCACTCTTAAGTACACTACCTTGTTAAGTTAATCAGCAAGCTGAGACCGCAGCAGCTGCTGCCAGGAAGCTCCCTCCATCCTGAGCCCTGTCGTGTCCCCGTCCCCCCCACTGCTCTACGGATATGGGGTAAGCGGGGTACAGGAGCAGAAGGGAGGGGGACACCCTGACATTAGCCCCCCTCTCCTTCCCACCAGCAAGCAGGAGGCTCTGGAGAGCAGCTCCAAGGCAGAGGGCAGGAGCAGCACATGGCAGTGTGGGGGAGGGACAGCTGCTGCATAGGGAACTTAGGGGGGCTGTCAATCCACCCTGGTTCCAAGCCCTCACCAGCTAGCTGCAATGGGCTGCTCTTCCTGCAAGCAGTGGACAAAGCAGGCGGTTGCTAAATGACATTATAAGGGATCACTGCACAACTTTAAACGAGCATGTTCTCTAATTGATCAGCAACATAACAACGTTAACTGGGACTACTTTAAGTGAGGAGTTACTGTATAGAATAGTACCAGACCCAAGACAGACCCCTGAGGGACCCCACTAGATAGGTCCCCCAGTTTTACAGCAAGTCATTGATAACTGTTTTTACTTATGGTCTTTCAACCAGTTATGCGCTCACCTTATAATCATTTCAACTAGACCACATTCCCCTAGTTTGCTCATGAGAATGGTATGTGGGACTGTGTCAAAAGTCTTACTAAAATAAAAATATATCATGTCTACAGCTTCCCCTGATCCATAGACCAGTAACCCTGTCAAAGACGGAAATAGGTTGGTTTGGCATGATTTGTTCTTGACAAATCCATGCTGGCTCTTCCTTACAACCTTATAATCCTCCAGGTGCTTACAAATTGATTAATAATTTGTTTCAGTATCTTTCCGGATATTGAAGTTAGGCTGCCTGGTTAATAATTCCGGAATCTCTTTGTTCCCCTTTTTAACAATAGGTACAATGTTTGTCCTTCTCCAGTTGTCTGGGTCCTGCATCATCCTCCATGAGTGTGCAAAGATAATATTAAATAGTTACAGTATTGCTTCAGCTAGTTCAGGGGCGGGCAAATGTTTTGGCCTGAGGGCTGCATCGGGTTTCTGAAATTGTATGGAGGGCCAGTTAGGGGAGGCTTTGCCTCCCCAAACAACCAGGCATGGCCTGACCTGCGCCCCCCAATCTGACCCCTCCTGCTTCTCACTCCCGACAGCCCCCCCGGGGACCCCTGCTCCATCCAGCCCCCACTCTGTGTCCCCTGACTGCCCCCTGCCGGCCCATCCAAACCCCCCTCTCCTTCCTGACTGCCCCCCTGGGAACCCTGCCACATCCAACCACCCCTTCTCCCTGTCCCCTGACTGCCCCTCCCAGGACCCCGTCTCCTGACTGCCCCCCCATCCAACCCCGTTCCCTGCCCTCTGACTACCCCGACCCCTACCCACACCCCTGATCACCCCCCCCCGAACTCCCCTGCCCCCTTACCGCGCTGCCTGGAGCACCGGTGGCTGGCGGCGCAGCTGCACCAGGACAGGCAGCTGCACCGCGCAGCACAGAGCACCGGGTCAGGCCGTGGATCTTCAGCTGCGCTGCCCCAGGAGCTCGCAGCCCCGCCACCCAGAGCATTGTGCTGGCAGTACAGTGAGCTGAAGTTGTGGGGGGAGGAGGAACGGCTGGGGGAGGGGCTGGGCAGGACGGTTCCCCGGGCCGGATGTGGCCCGCAGGCTGTAGTTCGCCCACCTCTGAGCTAGTTCCTTAAGTATCCTAGGAGAATTTCATCATGCCCTGCTGATTTGAATGCATCTATCTAAATGTCCTTGAACCTGTTATTTCCTTATTCTAGCTAGCGTTCCTTCCCCCTTGTTGTTAATATTAATTGTGTCGAGTATCAGGTCACAATTAACCATTCTAATGATGACTGAAGCAAAAACAGGCATTAAACAATTCGACCTTCTTGAGGTCATTTGTTATCAGCCCTCCTTCCCTGCTAAGTAGTGGACCTACACTTCCCCTTATTTTTCTCTTGCTCATATTGTATTTATAGATCCTCTTCTTATCACCTTATGTCCTTTGCTTGGTGTAACTCATTTTGTGCCTTAGCCCTTCTGATTTTGTCCCTACATGCTTGTGCTATTCTTTTGTACTCCTCCTCAGCAATTTGTTTATGTCTACACTTTTTGTAGGATTGCTTTTTGATTTTCTGATCATTAAACAGCTCCTGATAGAGCCATATTGACCTCTTACTATTCTTCCTATCTTTCCTTTGCATTGGGATAGTTAGCTGCTGTGCCTGTAATATGGTCTCTTTAAGAAACTGTCAGCTCTTCGGAATTCCTTTTTCCCTTAGATTTTCTTCGCATGGCAACATACCTACCAGTTCAGTTCAAGTATGCTTTTTGAAGTCCATTGTCTTTATTCTGCTGCTCTTACTCTTTCCTTAGATCATGAAATCTATCATTTCCTCATCACTTTCACCCAAATACTGGATGATACTTTCAAAAACATTTTATTTAGGCATGATTCTGCTTATATATTTAATCTTCCTTGTTTTTGTGTTTTAATTACTGGATACATTTTCTTTTGGAAAAGTCAGGATGTAAAACACTATGTAAATGTAACAGACAAGGTTAAATGCACCTCAGGCTCCATGCATCCTGATGGTAGAAAGTCTGCCAGGAGAGGAAACAAGCAGCAATAAAAAGTAGAAACAAACAGTCTTCCTTCTTCTGGGTGGGGAATTGTAGTGCTCCGGCAAAGTTCAAGTAGCACACAGCAGTAGCTGAGGAGGGGCTGTTGCAAGGGTGACCCAAAATGCTTCCATTCAGTGGGTCCTTTCAATAACTCCTGCCAATGGGACGCCTGTGGAGTTCCTGGCAGACTTTAGAGTTCAAAATGTGACCTATATAGCACTCTGAAGTTAACTCAAAAGACGAACAACAGTATCAGTCAACTCCGGTAAGTGCCACTGAAGCAGCTTTGAAATGCCTAGGAATTGTGCTGTATTGTAGTCTTTCATCTAGCATGTATTTGTCTGGTATCTTGTCGTTCTTTTAACAAATGCCACCCAACTGGCATAGCTCCACTGGGCCCAATTACAGCTATACTGATTTACATCAGCCGATGTTCTGGATCTTGGCCTTCACACTGCATGTTTTGTTTCTCTTTTCTGCATTAAATGCCCAGTATTCATGGGGTTCTTTTCTTCCTGGCGATTTCACAGTGGTCCCCACAGCCACTGGCATTGTTACACCAACTCCCACAAATAAAAAAACATAGCACTATCAGATCAAAACACCTTATTGTTTTCATTATGCATAAGCAGAACTGACATGACTGCTGGTTTTGAAAGTAGACAGTCAGTCAAAGTTGGCTACTCATTTTAAGCAAAGACATATGTACCACATACTAATGAAAATTATAATTTGTGTTTTTGTTCAGAGGAGGTGGGTAAAGATAAGATGCAGAAAATTTAAAAAAATCCCAACATTCTTCTATGATTAGTAGAAAGAAGTAAAAAGCACCATTCAAAGTTCATTTTAATTATGTTTTGTTTCATGCCTCAATTCTAGCTCTCAGCCAGTGATTTGCCATGCTAGAATGTTGAATAGCATCACAGAGAAAACCAAAACACTGATTCATGGAAATTTAGGGAGTGAAAGTATTAGATCAATGTGAACATGTTTTAGCTAAAAAACAAAAACAAAACAAAAAACCCCAGCAACTGTACTTATGTATATAATGAGCTTTTGTAGAAAACTCTCCAGCTTTTTTGTGGTGTTCTATATCCACATATCCCTCTATATGTGTTGTATATCTCTCCCCACGCATTTGATTTTGAGTTCCATGAGGTTGATGGAATAAATTGCTCTCTCGTTAACCAACAAACATGATGTTCAGGGACCATTTACACATCAAGAAATCAATTCGCCTTTGCGATCCTGAAGCGATCTTTTCCAGCGAATGGTTCCTTGCATTTTACTTTGAGTACAGAAAACACCATGTATATTCCTAATAGGAAACATACTATTCCATGCTCTCTACTTTACAGGTTGCCTTAGTTTTTAATTCCTGAAGACTTATTATTGCAAACAGGGAAATTACTAACACACTTACTTTGATATGTGGGTGCTTCACACAGGTTGTCCCCCACACACGCGCACAGCGTTCCTCCTTCCTATGTTCATAGAACTCTGGGTTTCTGAGGATTGCTACCCTTTGGCCATTATACTGAAGTGCAAATGCAGAGTAGCCATCCAGCCGTTTCTTATCTTCCATAGCAACAGGGAGCACAATGGGAATGCTCAGGTTAATAACGCCATCTGTGATGAGAACACCACCATATTTTAATATACTTAAAATGGCTAAAGCATCACACACACACACGGCTCTTATGAAAATGTTCTGAAAGAGGAAGTCCTAACCCAGGACTGAATGAATGATCATAGATGCTGGATCAATTGGTCTAATGACCTCATTCAAGTACTCACATGACCATACTGATTTTACTCTGGGGTTAGGTTTTTTCTCCTTGTTTTTGCTTGGAAATAGACCTATTGTTTGCTTATAAGAATTAAAATTCATAAGAAAGAATCATTAAACAATTTAGCAGTTGTAACTGTGACAGTGATTACGTGGCAATCTAAGACAAATTTTCAATATTCTGCTGATTTAGCATCCTGGAGATTTTTCATGTGATGATTTTAATACTATGTGGATTTTGCCATTCTTCATTTCATTTTTTATAAAATGGTTTATCATTCATCTATGTGTAGCAGTTGTAGATTAGCTTCAAGCACAATCAGGTACTTAAAATGTAGTCGTGTGTGATCCAACCAGGTAAATTTCCCTTTGTTTAAATCTTCCTGACTGAAACATGCTTTCACAAATTATTCAGAGGCATGTTTAAAAAGTCAAAAGTGCAACCTCAGATCAGGTCTATTTATTTAAATAATACCAACCAATACTCAGAGATCAATTAGTAAAGCCAATGTGGTAACAAAACATGGAATAATTTCTTAAATAAATCATTTTGGTTTATGGTTTTCCAGCTTTAATTACAATACACAGAACAGTCACTTTTGATATATGCAAATACAACTTGCATAGTTATATGATTAGTATTCTCATGAACCTAGTTAACAGCGTATTGGAGGTCTGGTATTATGTATAACTGGTTGGATCATAAACAACTTGGTGCCAGTTCCAGTAACCGAATTTAGATTTTATTTTTCTATGGCATTTTATATAATTTATGTTAATCTCTAATTGTAATTATTTCCATAGTATCTGGAAAACAATTAAATACATACTAACTAGAGCTACCAAGTCTACCCTTTCCTAGGGGAATAAAAATGTAATTAAACACCTATGTTTTTAACTTCCCCAAAAATAACTTTTACAGTAATAGATTCAGGAACTAAATCAATCTGAAACTTCAAACAGCTATTGCATAATTTTTAGTTTGGATATTTCCTTGCATTGTCAAGGCAATTTTTTTCTCTTTTGCTGTCAACTAAATGTTACTCTGTATGGTTCAGTGCTATTTATTTAATTTGCTACCTGTTCTCATAACAACACTTATTTCACCCCAAAACTGTTGAATGTGTATAGTTTCTCCATAATGAAATCGTCAGAAAAAAAAAAATATATATATACACACACATATACATACATATATACACACACACCAGGTAAGACATTCCAAAACAGGTAAGACAAGCTGTGTGCCAGCTGCATGCATTCAAAAGAATTCGTTAGTAGAACTGATTGAAAAGTGGAGGGGGTTAGTTTTGCATTAAAAAAAAACCAAACATTTTCAGCTGAAAACTTGTTTTTTCCAACAAAAAACTCCGTTTTCCACAGAAAGCAGACACTTGTCACAAAAAAATTCATTTAGCTGAAAACCCAATTTTCTGTCAAAGAACTTTTGACAGAAAATTTTTATTCAGCCCCTATTAGTCATGGTATTTTCTGACTCTATCCTAATAATTTTGGAGCACACTACTTCTCATCTCTAAAGGGGAGAACAGTACCACTCAATAAATATGTGTGGCACGGATTTAATTAATATATATCTTATTAATATACCTTTTGAGCCGTTTGAAGGTAAATAAAATGAAATTAGATATTTATACATGTTTGGAATGTCTCTCTTATGCTACCACACGTGACTTCTTGTTTCACAGGAGAGGTTAAATACTTTACAAGGCACCTCAGTATACCCTACAGAAACAGGGGAACATATTTAAGACAGGGGGTTTTGTACATAGCCAAATTACTAAAATGTAAGTGTGACTTATTACTGAGAGGTTATGGGACTCAAAATGTATTATTAGTAAAAACTGGTAACACGAACTTGGACAGGTAAGTGCCAATGCTTCTACTGCTCACTTTATTCTGATTGCATCCTTCAAGACATAACTATTTTTTGGTCAGTCCTAGGGTTCAAACTCTATGCTAATCAGGCAGGATGACTTGCCTGCCTTTTTTTGAAAGTCCAGTCCCAAACGTTTATTTAGGAACATAATGGTGTCCACTGCCTCTGCGCCTAACCACTTTACATCACTAAATACAACCACTAATAAAGAAATAAGGGCTTTGCAATGAAAGAAAGTCAGAGAACCCCACTTCCTTCTCTCGAAATGTTAGTCAAAAGCCAGCCCAACAGATACACAGTGACCACCAAACTCAGATCACCAGGGACAGCAGACGCCAGTGGCATGGGACTGCAACTGAAAATACCTTTGCTGCCTGTTTTGGAGAAGTTAACACACATAATGAAAAAAGCAAGTGCTGCGATAAGTGGGTCCCAGGCCAGTTAGGGCTCTACACGTAGTGACCAACAGTATGAAACACACAAAAAAAAAACCAATACAAAACAAGACATTCAGTACAAGCAACAGAGCACTGGTGCTGTGAACTCATCATGGGGCATCCCACTCAAGTGATGAGCCACTGCAATCTGATCCAAATGGTGCTTCATGGTGATATTCAAGTGTAGCAACAAAACAGTAGTTTAACCTGGAAGTTACAGAGGTGTGGATTATTGCGGTGAGGTCTGCATCAGAGGGAAAGAGTTACAGCCACCAGGCCAGCAGTTGTCAAAAGGCGCTTGGTGCCACTAGAGCCACCTGGGAATCCAAAAGCAGGGATTACAGCAATGTGATCTTTAGACTACAAACTGTATTGACAAAGCTACACTTGCCCTGTTCCCAGCTTCAACACTTTTGTCTCATGAGGTTGAACATAAATATTGATGAGACCAAATTAGCTTATCAGGCACTGGGATCAGCAAAAGGACCACAGTTGTGGATTTGATGAACAGGAGACATGGTTTTGAGGGTCACCTGCATGTTAGCAATGCTGCATGTCAAAATGTTGGTGGTACGTAAACGTCGAACAGGAGTGGTGACAATGCTGAACTCCACAGAGGGAAGCTTTTACAGTGGAAGAGTTAATATTAATTAGCCCCCTTTTTACTCTGTCAGGATCTGATTTTTCATTCCTTATTTACTTTGAGCAGTACCTTACTCTGGGAGTAATCTCAGTCAATGAAAGTGAGTTATTACTCTACATGACTTTCAAGCTTCCAAAAGCAAGTCAACAAAACCTTATGGTCAGTTATGTCAACAGCTGCTAAAAGCTCTAACAAAATCAACACAGACATCTTAACTGCAAGCATGGTTAGGAAGTGACTCTACTAAACCCATATCTAAAATCAGGGACAGGACCATCTACTGTTCCCAGGCCAAGATGTAACTCTAGTTCCTTCACCACCATCTCTTTGATTACCTTCTCCAAAACCAAGGAAGGTTAACCTTTCAGTATATTGCAAATGAGAGATTAAATTTCAGGTCCATGGTTTCGCTTTTAAGCCTTAAGAAAGAAGACCTAAAAATATCATCTGAAAACATATACAGGCTTCTGTTTCCAATGTACAGGTCTTCTTTCCTACAGGGGACTACAAACTCAATCTGGCAATATCCTTAGGCATTGGCCTTGATATTGCATTTATATTTAATTGAGTACAATTGAACAGGGAAAGTTTACATAATGGTATTCAAATATTTGAACTGCCAGTTAATGGAATCTGTGCCTGTGGCATTGGGAGCCCTTTCATAATAAAATAGACTGTCAGTTCATATTCTTCCACACAGTTAAATGCATCCACTTGCCATTCTCAAGGTTCTTTATAAAGCTATTTACTCAGGTGCCACATTCATCAAGAGAGAGGAATTAAAACAAACATTAAGTGTAGATTAATCTTTGGTATATAATTGACAACTATCATATTTCATTTAAATGTTTCAAACAATTTTTAAGTCCGTTTGGAAGTTTTAAAACAAAAAAATGTTGGAAGCAGGAAATCATACCATCACTCAGGGTGCCAAAATGGATAGCTTGCAAATATTCTGTCTCACGCATAAATCCTTTCAGTGGTGTGGCCCAGCCTTCACTCAGGACTTGGACCCACTGTAGATCCAACTGAAAAAAAAGAATCAGATATTACTTGTATTTCCAGATAATGCTTCAAAGATAGAACTGAAGGCTAAAGAAATCTAAGAACAATCTTGTACATAAGTGCTACCGCTTTCTTTAATATAGTACATTTATAAACATCTTTCATTCAGAAGGATTCGCAAAGTGTTTTTTCTTTTTAAGATTGTTAAGCAGAAATCTTCACCTCCCTTACATCCCTGCACCTTAAATGATGCTGCTAACATTTGCACCTGTACTCCACTTGAAGTCACAAAAGGAATGGGTCCAATTTTGCAGAGACAAAAATGCATCCAATGTAAGACACCAAGCTGAGCCCAGATGAAAATTTTGGCCACAGTATTTACTGAAGTTTCATGTTGCACATAGGCCATAGCACAAACACAACAAGTTGTATGGTCTGATAAAGGCTATTCACAAATATTTGTCCATTGGGTAAATTCCTTAAAATAATCTCTCAGTTATATTTCAGTATAAAAATAAGTCTTAGCAGAGAGGGCTATTACAGACAACCAATTTTTCAATTTTATTTGAAAGACTGTAAGAGTATTGGCTATAAATAATACTAATAGAGTGATTTTTAAACTTTTAGAGGATGAAATATATGCTGTTCTTTGAAAGTCTTATTTTGTAAGTCTAATTAACTGGGTTTTACTGCAGTTAGGTGGCAATATAAAATTATATTTCTACATATAGTACATGCCTCCTAGGACATTTTACAATCTTTGGAAGATAAAATTAAGACTGGAGTACAGTTACCATAAGAATAACTTCTATAATGCTAATCAGAACAGACTAAATCTGGATTTCAAAGTCCTCAATTTCATCTGACAAGGAGTCCTACAGTCAGGAGCAAGGCATCTAAACACTAATGATGTAACATTAGTGGTACCTGATTTATTAATGTCAAAAAGCAAATATAACAAATGGAAAAATGTTGTACAGATAGCACTGTGTAATTTATATGTTGCTGTTGTGTTGCTTTTTAATTTGTTTTTAAACTCCTTGAACAGTTCACATTGGTGTAGTATTAGGGCTTGCATTAATCATACGGCTTGCAGGAATCAGAAAGCAACAGGGTTCCACTCACTTTGGAGATGTCTTATTGTAACTTGTGTAGTACTTTGATAAAAGGGTTTATCAAGGTACTACACAATGCCATTTTCTTTATTCTCCCACCTTGGTAATCTCTAGAATAGGCAGCATGTTAGTATCTGCTTGGGCCCGGTCAATCTTATTTTCAGGTACAAACAGTTCAAGAACATCCTTAATCTCAGTTTTGGGAACAATGTTCTAAAAAGAAAAGAAAGATCCTAGTTACCACATTAATTTTTAAACAAAATATACCAAAAGGCTAATATTTGAAAATAGACTTTACAAACTGCAGGCGTTTTTTGGTATAAAACAACCTACTTGTGCTTGTAGCAGCTCCACAACCTGCTGGATACATTCATTCACTGTAGCAATGTTCGTTTTCAACACTAGTTCAGGAGATTCTGGTTTTTCATACTCTGAATCAATCCCAGTGAATCCTACATACAATTAAACCCAAGCCAAATTTAGCGAATGTAATAGTCAACAGCCTAGGGATCAATAAAATAGTTAGCTAGTGTACAAATGGCAAGAAAACATTTTTTCATTCAGAGAACCCATGCTCAGCAATGGCATTGAGACTTCCTGTTTGGTTTATCAATAATGGACTTGACAATAGGGTTATAGCAATATGATGCTGTATGTTACAGGAGCAACCTTCCTTTGCCCATCTAGGGAGATGCGTTGATGGCAACACTGCAAATACCAGTCATACAGCCCTTAATGCCAGAGAGAAAAAAGTGATGTGTTTACTATCAGAGAGCGAGTGTAAAGAAGCCTAACAAAGAAGAAGGTAATCTCCAAATAACAAGGGTCCATGAGCAGTTGTTTAGTGGAGGAAGGAAATGTATTTGCCATTTCAAAAAAGGGAAAATTATTATGCCCACTTTTATACAGAAACTTGTCAACATTAGCTTTACTTTTCAGGCCTTAAAGCAGTGTTGTTGCAGAGAAGATTCAGCTGGCTTGTAATACATAGTTGTAACTGGGTGGAAGACTAGCAAGCTGCATAGAGATGCACAACTCCTGTTTTGAATAATCTTCATGTCATATACCTGAACGCTGAATGATAGGGCAGTACAAGTGTAACTGAATCATACTAGCAGGTGGATCTTATTAGTTCAAATCAAGGAAGAAGAGAGGTTGGAGTATCCTTCTTTGGACAGAAATTTCCTGGAGGGAAAACTGTAGTAACAATCAAACTTAGGGAGAAAGCTAAGGCTGAGGTTTACATTTGGTTTTTATTTGAGATAGCAATAAAATCAAACCCCAGAAAGAGGTTAAGTTTGGACTATGTGGATATTCTCTTCAGTACAAGGTAGAAATTCCACCTCTTTTCAGTACTAGTCTGTTTCCCAATTCGGATGTTCTACGTTTCACCCCCTGTTCACCCTTCTCATGCCTACGTTTCCATTCCTCAGCATGTTATTGTTGGGCAATTCAACAATAGTCTCTTTGCCACAAAAAAACATAACCTCACTCTAAGCACAGATGTTACGTAGGGTATGATATTATATATTATGTGATTTCTTGTCCTGCTATGGAAAACCTCACACTTTAAGAGAATCGCTCCTTTTGGGGAGAGGTTTATTGTCTTTTCCCCCTTTTTACTCCATTCAGGAGCAGGATGCTGGAACAATTTGTATAGTGGGGTGCTAGGAGCCATTGAACCAAACTGTAAACCCTGGATATAACGGAAATCACTTCAAGCCAGGGGGTGCGGCAGCACCTCTAGTTCCAGCATCTATGCTCTGGAGCTTCTCCCTTACCCTGCACAGAGGGGTTGAGTTCAAAAAGAAAGTTAGAACTTTGAGAAGTGTCATTATCAAATCTAGCAGGCATGCTTGAATGGATTGTAAATTTTAAAATTGGAAAATTTAAAAAGCACCTAAGTGACTCAGGAACCTAAGTCCCATTTTTGAAAGTGACTTGGGCACTTAGAGGACTAAGTCCCATTCAGTTTAAAGAGACATATGTGTGTAAGTGCCTGGGTAACTTCTGAAAATGGGACTTAGGTTCCTAAAGGCTAGATCCACAAAGGGATTTATGTGCCTAACTGCCACTTTTAGTGGCAAAGTCCAAAATTTAGATCCCCCTAACCCCTGATCTGCTGCTGCCAACCCTGTAAGCACCTACATTTCCGCTAGTGAAGTCCCCGTGGGGCCTAAGCATCTGCCATTGGGCACAAACACAGCCACCAACCTCTGACACTCAGGTGGCTAGCTCACACCTAAACCTCAAAGAGATCCTCACACTAGGTGTTTCCCCACCTATGTCACCTGAACTGATGGATCAGTTCTCACACAGGATGACTAGGGTGGTGGATCCCATTCTTAGGTGCCTAACTCTCCCATCGTATAGGGAGCCTGGGTGATTAACTCGGGACTCTGGGTGCTCCAAGGCAGCAGGGTGGCTAAACCTTAGGCATTGTGATGCTGAGTCTAAGTCCCCTTTGTGTATCTAGCCCCTAAGTCACTTTGACAGTTTTGAAATTGTTACTTATAATAATAAGTTTCTGTGTAAGTGAATACTGCTAGCATTAATAATGCAAACGTACTCAAGGGGTTTGTACCATTTAAGAGTGCAGAAATTAGTCTGTTTCTATGCCCCTTGTTTCCACCACCTTCCAAGAGATGACTGGGTTTTTTTCCTTTTATTTAAAGAGGTAGGAATGCTGGCTCTCATTAGCACTGTTCACTGTTGATGAGAAGAGAAAAGGGAGGCAGATAAAAAGAAGATACTGAGATATCATTAAACAAACTGTTTACCTCACCTTTGATTTCTCCAGCCCTTGCTTTTTTGTAAAGGCCTTTCACATCTCTGCTTTCACAAATATTTAGAGGAGCATCTACAAAGATTTCAAAGAAAGGAAGACCAGCCATTTCATGAATTTCCCTTGCATTTTGACGATCCTATAAGAAGCAAGGGGAGAAATCATAAGCAATTCCACAATTGAATTCTCAGTGGGGTGTTGCTAAAATGTTTTATCTGGTCACCAACACCTGCCTAGAGTTGGATTTTTCCAAAAGAAGGGTACAGGCCATATTCATCCATTGTAAAATGTTATCTATTCTAAATATATTCTTACTAAGAAAAAGAAGTTCCTTTTCACATAATGTTTAATAAAAATTACTAGTTTGATCTAGATTCAGCTTTTTAACAGCAGTTTAGAACATCTATCTTCACTTAGCAGGCTGGCAGAATCTTATACTTTGAATAACTATTTATTAACTAATCCTTGCTTTAAAACAAAAATTATTGATAATCAATTGTATTGACCTGATATTAGCAGATTACGGTCATTATTATGAAGCAAACCAAATCATAAGTATAACAGGATATCAAAACTTATTAGAACAGCATATATCAGCTTAATTATACCACTATAAAGCCCTATACGCCTTCCTCCAGTTTTCTATTTTTCAGGGAACTAGTGATTATGAATCTCTCGAGTGAAATTTTTACTTTTAACACATATTAACTGACACCTAGTTTTCTACACATTTTTGAACATCAGTGTGTCAGGCCAATTTGCATCTGAGCAATAAGAGACCAAAGAACTTATTTTATATACTTGTGATTTAAAAAAAAAAAAAGAAAAAAGAATAGGGGAAAAATAAAGTGAGTGTGTGATGGGGTGAAACCCATCACAGGCTGGAAAAGGGTTAATAATTAATTATGGAACAGATACAATGTATGTACTGTGATAAAGTTCCTCCTCTGCCTCGGTGGGTCCTGCGTTTATTGGCGGATTTGCTTGCCTCAGAGATTCACGACAGCCCTCAGTTTGGCCACTTTTGCTAGTGGCTCAAACCTGCTGTTCACTCAGCTAACCTCATCACTGGCCGGCCTGGGGAAAAGGAAGGAGAACAATCCCCGCAGTCTCTGCTGATCCACCATGTGGGTCAGGGTGGGTCAGGGTGGGTCAGGGAACAGCTCAGAGACCTTCCCCTCTGGTGGAACCCATAGTCCAGATCATCTCCGCCTGTGTCTGATCAGGAGTTGGGAGGTTTGGGGGGAACCCGGACCCGCCCTCTACTCCGGGTTCCAGCCCAGGGCCCTGTGGATTGCAGCTGCCTAGAGTGCTTCCTGGAAGAGCTGCACAACAGCTACAACTCCCTGGGCTACTTCCCCATGGTCTCCTCCCAACACCTTCTTTATCCTCACCACAGGATCTTCCTCCTGGTATCTGATAATGCTTGTACTCTTCAGTCCTCCAACAGTCCGCATTCGCATTCTCAGCTCCTAGTACCTCTTGCTCTCAGCTCCTCACAGGCACACCACAAACTGAAGTGAGGTCCTTTTTAAACACAGGTGCCCTGATTAGCCAGCCTGCCCTAATTGATTCTAGCAGCTTTTTAATTGGCTCCAGGTGTCCTAATTAGCCTGCCTGCCTGAATTTGTTCCAGCAAGTTCCTTCTTGTTCTGGAACTGCCCATGTTATCTTACCCAGGGAAAAGGGACCTGCTTAACCTGGAACTAATTTATCTACCTTCAACCACTCTCCTGTAACGCCAGAGTCGGAGACCTCCTGGACTACGACCGGGGAGACTGGCTGGATCCCCTGACGCTCGCTCAGCGCATGGGGCTCTCAAGACCTCGTACTCCCCTGCGCGTACTTCAGGAGGTGAAGGCCGCTTTGCCGCCCGCTGCTCGAGTTTATCTCGACTGGGTCCTGCACGAGGGTGCACCCCACCCACCCTCTACCCCAGTCCCGCCAGTCCTTTTAAATTGGGCCCCTGCCCCATGGACCCAACCGACCCCCTCAGCCCTTCACTGTGAGCCGGCTGCATCTCTGCTTCCAAACCACACCAAGGAAACATCTATACATGCTCGTGCTCCACACCCTTCACGCCCTCACCCTTATGCCCCATCCCGACACAAAGTGGCAGGACCTCCTGCCACCTTTGGAGGGTGAGGCCAGCCTGTATTCCACCTTGATCCCGAGGCCCATCAGGGACATTAGTTGGCGGCTCCTTCAAGGAGCTGTGAGCACGGGCGTGTTTTTGACACGTTTCATCACCATCCCGGATACTTGCCCTTTTTACAACGTGAGGGAAACCCTGGCGCACGTATATTTACAGTGTGCCAGATTGCAGCCCCTTTTCTGGCTCCTCACGAATATTTTATTACGCTTTTGGCTCCACTTTTCCCCTCACCTTTTTATTTACACACTCCCCATCCGTGGCCCCACAAAATCACGAGATATCTTGGTTAACCTCCTCCTAGCCCTAGCTAAAACAGCCATTTATAAAACCAGAGAGGGGAGGTTGGCTAATGAAGCGTCCTGCGATTGTAGGGCTGTTTTCCGATCCTCAGTACATCCCCGTATCCGGGCGGAGTTCCTCTGGGCGGCATCCACTGACTCCCTTGACGCCTTCGAGGAGTGGTGGGCCCTGTCCGAGGTTCTCTGCTCGGTGACCCCGACTGGTTCCCTCCGTCTGACCCTTTGATTGAGGGGAAGAGCGAGAGACGCCAGCCCCAGCCGTTGCCGCTGTGAATACCATCATTACTGCCATCTAGGAGGGGTCCTATAATACATGGTGTCTACCCTCCCCACCCCAAAACCGCCCACCCCGCAGCCGTGCCCATCTTGCCGGGCACTCTCAGGAGAGGGATGATCGGTGACACTGGGCACGGCACTAGGTAACTCGAGGGGGTGGAAGACCACGAGTGTCGAGGAAGCCCCCCCGCTCTAGGCCACCAGGTAACTCAGGAGGGTGGAAGACCACGAGTGTCGAGGAAGCCCCCCCCCGCTCTGGGCCCAGGCTAGCCTGAACACTTCTCCCTCCTGAAAGCTGCTGTGTTATACCTTCTGTTTGCTTTTGTTTTGTTGCATAGTTTTGCTTTATCCTCTTTGGTGATTCTTTGTAAGTGTTACACAAATAAAATTCTTTTCTGCTTCAAAAAAAAACCACTCTCCTGTAACGCCAGAGTCGGAGATCTCCTGGACTACGACCGGGGAGACTGGCTGGATCCCCTGACGCTCGCTCAGCGCATGGGGCTCTCAAGACCTCGTACTCCCCTGCGCGTACTTCAGGAGGTGAAGGCCGCTTTTGCCGCCCGCTGCTCGGGTTTATCTTGACTGGGTCCTGCACGCGGGTGGGCCCCGCCCACCCTCTACCCCAGTCTCGCCAGTCCTTTTAATTGGGCCCCTACCCCATGGACCCAACCGACCCCCTCAGCCCTTCACTGTGAGCCGGCTGCATCTCTGCTTCCAAACCACGCCAAGGAAACATCTATACACGCTCATGTTCCACACCCTTCACGCCCTCACCCTTGTGCCCCGTCCCGACACAAAGTGGCGGGATCTCCTGCCACCTTTGGAGGGTGAGGAGCCCGAGTGGGCCAGCCTATATTCCACCTTGGTCCCAAGGCCCGCCGGGGATATCAGTTGGTGGCTCCTTCACGGAGCCGTGAGCACGGGCGTGTACTTGGCGCAGTTCACCCCAATCCTGGATGCCTGCCCCTTTTGCGACGTGAGGGAAACCCTGGTGCACGTGTACCTGGAGTGCGCCAGGCTGCAGCCCCTATTCCGGCTCCTCACGAACATTTTGTTAAGATTTTGGTTGCACTTTTCCCCTCACCTCCTTATCTATGCACTCCCTGTCCGTGGCCCCACTAAGTTGCGGGACCTCCTGGTCAACCTCCTCCTGGCCCTGGCTAAAGTGGCCATCTATAAAACCAAGGTGAGGAGGTTGGCCAATGGAGTCTCCTGTGACTGTGGGGCCTATTTCCGATCCTCCGTCCATTCACGCCTCCAGGCAGAGTTCCTCTGGGCGGCGTCCACTGACTCCCTTGACGCCTTTGAGGAGCAGTGGGCGCTGTTTGGGGTTCTCTGCTCGGTGTCCCCGTCCGGTTCCCTTCATTTGACCCTTTGACCGCACTCCTGTCCCTGTTGTTCATTAGCTGTCCCCCGTAATTATTTGGTTTTCCAGGTCCTGTGGATCCCCCCTCTTAGTCTGGGGGGGATCCTTTAGCAGTGGGCAGGCTTCCTGGATCCCAACAGGAACACTTTCCTGTAGCCATCTGGCCGTACCCTGTCACAGTACCTTGTTAGCTGCTTCTCAGCCACAGGGGGCAGGATTGGGAGGCATCAGGTGATAACTTAATGGACACTCAGGTCCCTTAATGGACACTCAGGCCCCATAAAAGGGAGAAGAGTTTAATCTGAAGTAGGAAGCTAGAGGGAGCAGATAGGAAGGCAAGTTCCTGTGAAGGGCTGAAGTGCCAGAGACTATTGGAGGCTGGAGGCCTCAGTAAGACTTTGGTGGGATCAAGAGTGTTTGATACCAGAGCTGAGGAGAGGCAATGGAACCCCGGGAAAGGGGGTGTGCACAAGACCCAGAAGAGAGGTTGATTCTTGGGGACTTTAGATTACACTGTGACATCTGTTCCCCCAGAAAGGGTTCAACTAGCTGCTTCTCAGCTGGAGGGCTATGTGGTGTGCAAAGACAGATGGCTTGCAGGGAACAGAGATAAACATCCCAGGGGCATCAGACCCTGAAATACGGCTGGTGGTGAGTACACTCCATAACTCCTCGACCGGGTCCTGCACAAGATATATATTACACTCTTTAAAAGCGCCTCTTTTCCTAAAAATTCTAGTCATGAATTCTAGTAGTGAGAGAGCCAATGGACTCTCTGCAGAGACCCCATTTTGCCAAGTAAATATCAGAATAATCTTAAATAGGTTTACCTTTGCAAAAGGGGAAATGAAACTAGTTATGCAAACAAGACCAGCATCGGCAAACAGTTTGGCAACCTCGGCAACACGGCGGATGTTTTCTTCTCGGTCATCAGTTGAGAAACCTAGGTTTTTGTTCAGACCATGCCGAATGTTATCCCCATCCAGCGAGTAGGAAGGCATGCCACGAGACAGCAGTAATTCTTCCAGAGCAAAGCCAATAGTTGTTTTACCAGCACCAGAAAGACCTGTTAGAGAAGACAAGTAAGGCATACCGAGGTTCATTAAAAAAACAGAAAACTAAACAGTACTCCAATTAATTACTGGTTACAAGTAATTAAACATCAGCTCCTAAAATATAAATATAGATTTGAGAAAACAGATTAGATATTTGAGGTAGATTAGAGGCATGAGACAGACAACAATAGCCATAGCAGAACAGTTGCATGCCTAGGCCCTGCTAATCTCTTGTACTGAAACTAAAGAATGGGATTTTTTGCAAGCAGACTAATTCCATGAGGAAATCCTCATGGAGACTCTCACATCTCTCTCTCAGGGGAGAACACAGGGTTTGGTCCCCTCTTTTCTCCTGTGAAATAGATGCACTCAAACCTGGCAAATCCCAGGGGATATGTAGGGGGCCAGGCCATCACGTGGAGACCCCTCGCTGGGCTGTGACAGTTGGTGGGATACAGGGCCTGGGAGCCTGCTGTCTTCTGAAAAATCAAAGGGCCGAGATCATACTCCCATTACTGGCCATACCTTGTGTCCCAATCCCCTGCATGGACCTTAGACTGCACAAAGAGCAGTCCATGGGGTCTGTGTTGGAGGAAAGACAGTTCTGTGGAGGCATCCAAACCCCTTTTCTTTCCAGAAGGGTTCAGATCCATGCACTGGAGACTGCTCCAGGAACGGAGTCAGGACAGGAGGTCTAGCTAGGGACAGGAGCACTTCAATTTATGTACGACAACAAAGTTAGTCACTAACTGATAATCTAGGAAAGTTATCTAGAAACCCTCAAATGTACTTCCATTATTGCCTAATCCTTTAAAAATTAAAATCATAGAAAGTTATGGTAAGATCCCTGTATATTTCAAAGAAGAAATATCACCAAATGAAATTAAAATGCTTCATATACAGTACATATAAATTATATATGAAAGGGAATAAACAGCACTGGATGAGTTTCAGCTTCAGGAATAACCTTAAACTAATTTAGTCTTTCACCTAAATGATTGGTATTCAGTAACTTTTTTAAAACTAAACTTTTTTTAATAGAATGGTCAGCACAAAAGCTGATATGAACATAAGATAAAGTGATTCTCCAAACATTATGGAATGTGTGTTTTCCCATATTCCAGCTGCCAAACAAAATATACCAAGAGTTACCAAGCAAACATACATGATAAACAATTAAAAGTAGTAAGAGAATTGTGTAAACATAACTGAACTGTGTACAGAGTGTGGTTGTGACTTACCCTAACCTGTGAGAGAAGTTTCGCCCTGGAGAGAAAAAACCTGGAAGGAAGGGGGAAAAGTAATCCCTTCCCCAAAGATTCATGAAACGAAATACAATGTGACTTACGTTGTAAGCATTATTTATTCTCTATATATACAAAGCCCACCCTGTTATATCATTTAACAGGATATTTTAAATCCCAGGAAACTATTTTTATTTCATCTGTGTATCCACGTCAGAAGAGTTTCCTAGGTCCCATTAGTATCAGTTTATGCAGGTCAAGGTGAAATAGATCTCTTTACACCAGGGGTGGGCAAATATTTTGACCCGAGGGCCACATCTGGGTGGGGAAATTGTATGCAGGGCCAGGGCAGGGGGCTGGGGTGCGGGATAGTGTGCGGGATTTGCAGGAAGGGGCTCAGGGTAAGGGATTGGGGCAGAGGAGGGGTTGCAGGGTGTATGAGGGAGCTCAGGAAAGGGTGTGGGAGGGGCGCGGCGGGGGTTGGGGTCTGGGACACGACAGGGGGCTCAGGGCAGGGGGTTGGGGTGCAGGAGGGGCGCGGCGGGGGTCTGGGTCTGGGACGCGACAGGGGGCTCAGGGCAGGGGGTTGGGGTGCAGGAGGGACGCGGCGGGGGTCGGGGGTCTGGGACGCGACAGGGGGCTCAGGGCAGGGGGTTGGGGTGCGGGAGGGGCGCGGCGGGGGTTGGGGTCTGGGAGGCGACAGGGGGCTCGGGGGCAGGGAGTTGGGGTGCGGGAGGGGGGCGGCGGGGGTTGGGGTCTGGGAGGCGACAGGGGGCTCGGGGCAGGGGGTTGGGGTGCGGGAGGGGCGCGGCGGGGGTTGGGGTCTGGGACGCGACAGGGGGCTCGGGGCAGGGGGTTGGGGTGCGGGAGGGGCGCGGCGGGGGTTGGGGTCTGGGAGGCGACAGGGGGCTCGGGGCAGGGGGTTGGGGTGCGGGGGGGGGGGGGGGGCGGCGGGGGTTGGGGTCTGGGAGGCGACAGGGGGCTCGGGGCAGGGGGTTGGGGTGCGGGAGGGGGGCGGCGGGGGTTCTGGTCAGGGACGCGACAGGGGGCTCGGGGCAGGGGGTGGGGGTGCGGGAGGGGCGCGGCGGGGGGTTGGGGTCTGGGAGGCGACAGGGGGCTCGGGGGGTTGGGGTGCGGGAGGGGCGCGGCGGGGGTTGGGGTATGGGACGTGACAGGGTGCTCGGGGCAGGGGGTTGGGGTGCGGGAGGGGCGCGGCGGGGGGTTGGGGTATGGGACGCGACAGGGGGCTCGGGGCAGGGGGTTGGGGTGCGGGAGGGGCGCGGCGGGGGTTGGGGGATGGGATGCGACAGGGGGCTGGGGGGGGGGGGGGGGGGGGGGGGGGGGGGGGGGGGGGGGGGGGGGGGGTTGGGGTCTGGGACGCGACAGGGGGCTCGGGGCAGGGGGTTGGGGTGCGGGAGGGGGGCGGCGGGGGTTGGGGTCTGGGAGGCGACAGGGGGCTCGGGGCAGGGGGTTGGGGTGCGGGAGGGGGGCGGCGGGGGTTGGGGTCTGGGAGGCGACAGGGTGCTCGGGGCAGGGGGTTGGGGTGCAGGAGGGGCGCGGAGGGGTGCGGGCTCCAGCCCGGCGCCGGTTACCTGAAGCGGCTCTGGGGTGGCAGCGGCAGACACTGTGGCCAGGGCAGGCTCTCTGCCTGCCTGCCCTGGCTCCGCGCCGGGAAGAATCCGACACCACGCCCCGAGAGCTGCCCTTGCCATTCCTCCAGGTACCTGCCCCGCAGCTCCCATTGGCCGCGGTTCCCCATTCCTGGCCAATGGGAGCTGCGGGGGGCAGTGCCTGGAGGCAAGGGCAACTCACAGAGCCCTCTCCCCCGCCCCCCAGGACGTGGTGCCAGCTGCTTCTGAGAGCGGTGCGGGGCCCAAGGCACCATGGGGGGCAGTCCCACAGGCCGGATCCAAAGCCCTGAAGGGCTGGATCTGGTCCACGGGCTGTAATTTGCCCACCCCTGCTTTACACCATGCACTAAGCTCTACTTGGATTATTGACATACATAAATGAATTTCGAGCTATACTCATCCAGCACCAGTGAGCAACACATTTCACACATCCATTTGCAGTCTCAATAAGGCTTAAAATACCTGTTAGCCAGACTGTGCAGCCTCGAAATCCACCTCTTGTACCCACAACTTGGCCTCTTTTACTTCTGCTGACATGATGAGCTTGATATACAACATTAGTGGCTCTCTGGATATTCTACACAAAAAACAAAACAAAAAGTTTATTGTTTCATATTGCAGAATAGAAAAATCCAAGGGGAACTGGGAAGAGGAGAAAATTCAAATTCAGAAGATTCAAAATAAAAAAGGAGGTTATTTACAGTAAAGCACAAAGGAAGTATGTTTGCAGTGCTACCTGTTTCTGAATAAATAGTGGATAGCTTTACATGGAACTTAAGGGGGGACAAATAACCAAATAAGATGGCTGTCTTTGGTTTCAGATGGACTTAATTCAATACAATTGTTTTTCTAAGATCTGTCATTCAATTCTTCTTTAAGTTGCTTTTTATCTTCGATCCCCTCATATCATACCGGTGCATTTTCATATGTTGCCTCTGACTATGAGTATAGCAGGAATTTCCTGTTAAAGCTGATACGAAATTTAATCTGCATATGGATTGTTGTAGATAGGGCGCTCTGAGGTGGCTGACTTGCCCTCAGGCATATGCACTACATAAAAAAGGAAATGTGGATGCAAACTACACACTCACCATGTTTTCTGTCTTAGTTCTCTTAAATTCTGTGCATGTGTAAAGCACAAGTGTAATTGTTTACATAACGTAAACCAGTGGTTCTCGAACTGTGGGTCGCTACCCCGTTTTAATGGGGTCGCCAAGGCCTGGCATTAGCCTTGCTGGGGCCCAGGACTGTAGCCAGAGCCCCACTGCTCAGGGCCAAAGCCCAAGCACTTCAGCCGTGTGTGTGTGTGTGTGTGTGTGGTAGAAGGCTCAGGTTAAAGGCCCCCCCACCTAAGCCCTTGGGATTCGGCTTTGGCCCCCCCGCCAAGAGTGGAGGGTCTCTGGCTTTGGCCCTGGCTCCCCTGCCCAGGGCAGCAGGGCTCGGGAGGGCTCAGGCTTCGGTCCCCTCTCCTGGGGTTGTGTAGCAATTTTTGTTGTCAGAAGGGGGTAGTGGTGCAATGAAGTTTGAGAACCCCTGATGTGAACCATTTAAAGCTGTCAACTTACTTGATATGAGTGTTAAACTTAAACAGCTTAAATTGTTAACACTTATATCCAGTAAATTGATTGCTTAAATGGTTTACATTATGTAAACAATTAAAATAATACTTTATTGTGCTAAGGTCAACGGATAGAATCCTCCTTGACCTGGCCCTAGAGGAGCTGCTTCTTTGGCCAGTGTCTCTGCATAATTCTGAAACCACTGGTCATGCTTTTACCCCTTTTCCCACTGTCAAGAGTTCTCTTGCTCAGCCTTTCCGTAGCCTGCACCCACTTTACCATGGAATATTGGTGGCTGTGTTGCATTTAGGATCGTCTATGCTCAGAGGGTAGGGTGGGGTGGATTTTACTTTGAACAGCAATGTTCATTTTTGCGTAAATCACATTTATACTTAAACTGTGGTTTAGAAATATTCATACATTCAAGTTTTGGTTAAATTGCAAAAGCATTTCACTTCACATCACCCATTCTCTCACTCTCTCACTCTCTCTCTCTCTCACACACACACACACACACTAAACTACCTTTTGCTGGCAGTGATTATAGGCTGATACTACTGCCTGTTATTAAAGTTGCTTGACATTTCCTATTATAAGAATCTGTTTTCAGTTACTTATAACTTTGCCAAACTGTAATCACTTAGGCTCACATTTTCCATGCATAGGAACCAGCAGAGTAGGGGGGGGGAGAAGGTGTAGTGGGAGGGTAGCCAGATCTGATGAGGAACAGGTATGGGGGAAGAACCTGGACCAGCTGGGCAAAGAGACTAGGACAAGAAGCTGGAGAGGAGGGGTGAAGATTGGACAAAGAGCCTGGGGATGGAAACTGGGATTGTAAGCAAGTGGAGATGAGGAACATGGGTGGTGGCACGGGTGTGTGTGTTTGTGTGGGTGTGACACTGGAGCTCAGGAAGGGGTCAGAGTCAGATTGGAGAGGAGCCAGGAGGAAAGGAGGGTGATACTGGAACTAGAACTAGAAAGTAACAGGACTGGGGACAAAGAGGCAGTGGGAGGGGGAGGAAAGAGTGGTAATGAAATGGGAACTGGGACTAAGGGAGGGAGACAGAGATTTGGATGGGAATCCAGAGTGGGAAGACTAGGACTTGTTGGGCAAGCACACTAGGACTAGGATGAGAAGCCTGAGGAGAAAAAATAGTATCTGATCATGTACTTATAGACACTATCACAATGCATAGGTACAAGTGGAGGAGAGGGGAAATTAGTCGTACTGGCAACCTTAGTTCTGGCATTTTCTAACATTTGAGTGCTTGACGTTGCAACCTTAATAATAGTCTTTTGACATAGTTTATGTGTGTGTAATACATGTCTCTCCCACTAAAAAGGGCTGTGGATTCCAGAACATCTTCCTGTCCATATACTATCTTTCAACCAAAAGTCAGAGGCTATGTTGCAGCCATTATAGAAACTAGGCCTTTGTTTATCCTCTGTATAAACTTGCTTTGTTGCTGTTCTATTAATTGGCTCACTGTAAACTAATAGATTTGAAACAACTGTCTGGATACCACTGAGCTTTGCCTTCTCACAACAGTTGGTTTCCTACTGATCCAGCTGAAGAAATGGCTTCAAGAGTCTGATAGGAAAAAAAGTACAAATATTTTCTGCCCAAACAAATTCTGCACGATAGCTGGGTTTACGAGAGATACACATATGGTATATGAACTATCACGGGTTCTTAAACTTTGCCATGACATTCCACCCCATACTATAAAAATATTTACTCTTCTCCTGAAGTTAGAGAAGGGAAGTAATAACATTTCACTTGCCACAGAAAAGTTGTAAGTGAGGACAAAAAAACTAGGAATGGGAGAGAGAATAAAATGGGAAGAGTATTTTAAACATATTGGCAAGGCAGTCTGTCTCTTTGTTCCTGCTTGTTGCGTCATTAACATTCTTGGGACTCAGCAAACAAATAAGCATGTATTGAAAACAAATCAATATTTACTAAACTACTGAGGTTTTGGCTTCTGTAGAATTTTAAGTGAAAAATTATTCATGCTACCCTGTTCTTGCTATTGCTTTCCATGGGACAGGTCAGCCTTTCCAGTGAGATCATCCTCACAGAGAAACACTTATTTACTGTATTCCAAGTTTCATGCTAATTTTAAAAGTATTGATCTAAATTTTCAAAAATTGGGGTCCATTTCTGTGTCTAAAAACTGTGGCTGCAAGTTTGCACTCCCAGTTACTTATGGGAACCGAGATCTCCAGGTACCTGATTTTTCATGTACTATTAGGTACTTAAATATCCCCGTGACAATAATTGAGTGTCTATACAATTGTGAATCTAAAAATGCCCCAAGTTTATTTGCAGCCTCACATAGGGCAGCCCAAGGTAAGCAGAGCTGGAAATCAGGCCCAATTATGAAAAAAAAAAATTCTCCAGATTTAGAAGAAGTAATACATTCCCGTTCTTGCATCCACGTCACCATCACATCTTGATGGGAAATCCCAAAGCTAAAAAGTTTTGAGGGCTCCTGTTTCAACCACAGCAGGTGATACATTTTATCCCTTCTGGGAATCCACAGCCCCAACTGCCTCAACTCCCACTTCCCATTTTAACTGCTGCTGCTGCTGCTGCGGGCAGAGTGGTTCTCAGAGACTGACTCAGCAATCATTTCATTGGTTAGGATGGGTTCTTTTTTGTTTGTTTTTTGTTGCTACTACCCAGGCTAAGGACATTTGCCATTTTTAAAAGCAGTTCTTTGCTGCTACTATGTTCCCGTGGTAGGGACAAACGAGCAAGCACCACCATCTGACAAGAACCAACTTCTGGCCAATTCAATGCACTGGTTCGCCCTACACTGACACACATTAGTTGCTCCAAAATAAGGCCCTCACCTAGCGTCATCTCCTGGAACACAGGGTAGCAGTTCAGCATAGCTTTTGGGTACAAAGGCACCAGTGAAGAAAATCAATCAGTTATGGATTGATTTATTCTGAGCTTGTTAGCTGGGCAGGCGAGGCAGCATTTGAAACACAGGCACAGTGTTGCCAACTCTTGCAATTTTATCATGAGTCTCATAATATGGAGGTGTTTTTCTTAAAGCCCAAACTCCTATTATTAGGCGATTATTTGAGAACCTAGGCTTTCATTTAAAAAGAAAGTTAATTTCCAGCTCTCACAGTTGAGGAGGGAAGCATGAAGATGTGGCTGATCCGAGTGTACCCAAAAAGCCCAGAAACCGAAAGTTAAAAAAAAAAAATTATAATCTTTATTTTTAAAGATCTTGTGATTTCTAAGCCAACCTCGTGATTTTTGGCAGCCTGACTCATGATTTTTGAACACCTGGGGTTGGCAATACTGTAGTCAGCAGTTTCACCAACTCTCATGATTATAGCACAAGTCTCATAAAAGTTATTTTTTTCTTTAGAGCCCCAGCTGCTGGAGTCATGTGAATGCATGAGAATCTCAGGTTTTCATTTTTCTAAACCACATTCTTAGCCCTCGTGGTTGAGGATAAAAGCTTGAAAATGTGACCTGAGTGTAATTAAGGCTCAACAACCAGAAGGCAAATATAAGAACTCACAATGTATTTTTTTAAATCCTGGTTTTTAATCCAGTTGAATGATTTTTTGGGGCCTTACTTGTGAATATATAACATTTGGCAGTACTGAGAATGTACCATAGCAGTGCAACTTTGGTCGTCCCTTAGCTTCAGGCTGCAGCATTTGAGCAAGTGCTAAATGGACATGGCATCAGGGTATCCAAGAGAGAAGTCTGTCAGAATTATTAACCAAAGATAAAAAGCAGTATTTATGATTTAGCATAATTTAAAAATGCAGAATCAAATTGCTAATGACTAACCCTACAGCGCACAGGGACCCTCAGTGTCCAAAGAAACCCCTTTTCTGGGGTTTGGCTTTTCTGGTAACCCAGAAAAAAAAACAAAAACCCAGAACATAAACCTCTGCTGATGCTTCCTCCTCAAGCCAGGCTGTTTCAGGACCTCCTCCATTCTAGAACCCTAGTTTCCTCTTACTCAAAAGGAAATATTCC